ATGAAGTAACAAATGAATTTCCAAATTGAGAATCTACGAATGTAAAAACACATCGGCCCATTACAGAAGTTAGATTTGCCCATTGATGAATACTGTGTAATAGGCCAACCCTTGAGATTCTGTGTAATGAGATGGAATAGAAGCAGACTGTGAAATCAGGCTGGTAACAGAAGCCGAGCTTCATTGAGGCTATAAGAATGGCTGCTGTCCTATCAGAATGTCTGTCAGAAACGTGGCTCACCCCAGGCGACACCTTCCCCCTCACGGAGGCCACGCCACCCGGCTACACCTCCCACCACATCCCCCGCCCCAACCGCCGTGGCGGTGGTGTTGCCCTTATCTCAAGGACACCACTTGCCCTATCCCCCTACTCCTCTGGCTCTTTCCCCTCCTTCGAGCACCTCACCCTCTCCCACCCCTCATTCCTCTCCCTTAAAATCCTCCTCCTCTACCGGCCCCCTAAAACCTCTCCCACCTTCATCTCTGACATTTCAACACTCCTCACATCTCTTTGCCTCTCCTCTGATCGCCTCATCATCCTGGGCGACTTTAACCTACACTTCACCCCCTCCTGCTCCATCTCCACAGACTTCTCTTCCCTGCTCTCCTCACTCAACCTTTCCCTACACATAAACTCCCCCACTCACAGTCACGGCCACCCACTCGATTTGGTGATCACCCGGGGCCTCAGTGTCTCGGATGTCACTATTACCGACAAGGCCATCTCCGACCACTACTTCATCTCCTTCACCACCTCCACCCCCTCCCCACCTCCACCAGACCCACCACCATCTTCTACCGCCCTTGGAAGAAGTTACCCCCACAATCCCTAACCGATGCCTTGGAGTCCTCTGAACTCCTCTCCCTCTGGCCTTCAACCCTCACCGACCCCTCTTCTCCTCTCTCCCTCCTCCACAATATCCTCTCCTCCACACTCGATACTCTTGCCCCCATCACTTCCCGCACTGTCTCCTACTCCCGCTCCTCCCCCTGGTACACCACCCACCTCCGCTCACTGAAATGCCAGGTGCGGGCTGCTGAGCGCACCTTTGTCAAATCCGGCTTAACGGTCCACCGACAAATCTGGCTGGACCTCCTCAAAATTTACCGCTCCACTCTAGCCTCGGCCAAGTCGTCCTTCTACTCCAGGATAATCCTGGAGGCGAAGAACAACCCCAGGCTACTGTTTTCCACCACATCCCGACTCCTCCGTCCCCCCCGCCACCCCGCGCAGGTCATCTCCTCCAACCTTCACTGCGAGGAGATGCTGGATTTCCTTGAATCCAAGATCAAGGGAATCCGCTCCGCGGTCACTTCCCCTCCAACTTCCACCCACCACCCACCCCTTCCCTCCCACACTCCGACTCCTACCCATCCTCCCCTACACACCTTCGTACCCGTTTCCCCACCCTCTGTCACTGAACTCATCCTATCCCTAAAACCAACCACCTGCTCCCTTGACCCCATCCCCACTCCACTCCTTATCTCCCAGCTCCATTTTCTTGCCCCACACATCACTGACATCATAAACCTGTCCCTCTCCTCTGGCTCTGTCCCCATTCCATTAAAAACTGCCATCATCACGCCCACCCTGAAAAAACCCTCCCTTGATGCGTCGCAGCTATCAAGCTACCGGCCCATCTCCAACCTCCCCTTTCTCTCCAAGGTCTTGGAAAGAGTTGTCGCCTCCCAACTGCGCTCTTTCCTCTCCACCCATTCTCTTTTTGAACCCCTTCAGTCAGGTTTCCGTGCTGCTCATAGCACAGAAACTGCCCTGGTCAAGGTCACCAATGATATCCTGACTATCTGTGACCAGGGCTCCCTCTGTCTCCTCGTCCTCCTCGACCTATCGGCAGCATTCGATACGGTCGACCACGCTATCCTACTCCACCGCTTGTCCTCCCACCTCAACCTTCAAGGCACTGTCCTTGAATGGTTTAGCTCTTACCTTTCCCACCGTCTTCACTTCGTCTCAACGAATGGCTTCTCCTCCACCCCCCGTACTGTCTCATGTGGTGTCCCTCAGGGCTCTGTCCTCGGTCCCCTCCTCTTCACCCTCTATATGCTCCCCCTCGGTGACATCATCCGCAAACATGGGGTTAACTTCCACATGTATGCGGATGACACCCAACTCTACCTTTCCTCCTCTACTCTCAACTCCACGACCACCGATGTCCTGACAGCCTGCCTGTCCGACATCGAGTCCTGGACGAGAGACAACTTTCTTCAGCTCAACGTGCGAAAAACCGAGGCCCTCCTGATTGGCTCACGTCAGCGCCTCCGCACCTCAGGCGCTGACACCATCAGCATCCAAGGCTGCACTCTCCACCTCTCAAAGCCAGTCAGGAACCTCGGCGTTTTGTTCGACCCTGAGCTGTCCTTTCTCCCTCACATCCGCACCACAACTGGCACCGCCTTCCATCACCTCCGGAATATCGCCAGACTACGGCACTACCTCACCCCTCACGCTGCTGAAACCCTGGTTCACGCCTTTGTCACCTCAAGGCTGGACTATGGGAACTCTCTCCTCGCCGGCCTTCCCGCCACCTCCCTCCACAAGCTGCAGGTCATTCAGAACTCTGCAGCTCGTGTACTGTCCCGCACCAGGCTTCGGGACCACATCACTCCCACCCTCGCTCGCCTCCACTGGCTCCCCATCCCCCAGAGGATTGATTTCAAGATCCTCATCCTCACCTACAAGGCCATTCACGGCCTTGCTCCCTCCTACCTCTCCAACCTACTATCCCCCTACCTACCTGCCCGTACCCTCCGTTCCTCTGGCTCCGGTCTGCTCCACGTCCCCCGCCCCAACCGCCCTACTATCGGTGGTCGGGCCTTCAGCCTCTCAGCCCCGAGGCTCTGGAACTCCATCCCCCAGTGCCTTCGCCTTGCTTCCTCCCTTTCCTCCTTCAAGGCCGGTCTCAAAACCTTTCTCTTTGACCGTGCCTTCAGCTCCCCTCTCGACTCTCTTCCTCCTCCTCGCTCCCTCCCTTCCCTCCCCTCACCCTGACCATTTCCCCCCTCCTCTCTCCCTCCCTTCCCTCCCCTCACCCTGACCATTTCCCCCCTGCTCGGGTCATGACCCAACTGTGCAGCGCCTTGGGACGTCCTCCTGACGTGAAAGGCGCTCTATAAATGGAATCTTGTTGTTGTTGTTGTTGTTGTTGTCAAGTCCTGGATGAGGGCTAACTTTCTACAGTTGAACAAGACCGAGACCCTCCTGATTGACTACCGTCAGCGCCTTCACACCTTAGGCACCGACAGCATCACCATCCAAGGATGCATACTCCACCTTACTTAGCCAGTCTGAACCTTGGCTTCTTGTTTGACCCTCAACTATCCTTTCTACCCCACATCCGTCCCATGATCTGCTCTACCTTCCCCCAACTCTGCAACGTCGCCTGACTCCACCACTGTGTCACACCGCAGACCGCCGAGACCCTCATACACACATTTAGAACATAGCATTTATAAACTGCTTGTTGGCCTCCCCAACTCTTCCCTCTATAGGCTGCAGATTATCCAGACCTCTGCAACCCTTGTCCTCTCTCACACCAGGCTCTGTGACCCTATCACCCCCATCCTTGTCAGACTCCACTCCAAATACCTTGTATTCCTGGGTACAGGGTATTTGGAGTATCTTTTGCAATATTGAAAGGAACAGACTCAGAGGAGACTTTAAACACGGTTATTCAAATGCTTATGAAATCACTCTCAGAAATTGTTTAAATATATTATCTTTTCTTCAAATGAGAAAGCACAAGAAGTCTGAGTCTGGTTAGAAATACTGAAATTCAATATTCAAAGCTGAAATCATTACTCCCTTAAAACTAATCCCTATTTTCTCAAACTCAAATCTTGAAATAGCAGGGAAGTTATTTCACACAAACAGGATGAGACTTTATGTCGCCTGAAAATTTTTAGTAGATAAATGTTATCTGCTGCTCAGCACCAATGTCAAAGTATCAGAATAACAGGAAGTCTACCTCAATTTTTAACTGGCGTTAATTCAATACAATATAAATACTTTCCAAAAAACGTATTGCACTTAACTGCTTATCACATATTGACAATATCAGACAAGGCGATCTCGCTTAACTTTGTTCTAAGGAGAATAATCACTATCTGGTTATTTGACCAGCACAGATTTGAGCACTCAGTAGGTGGATGGTAGGTACGCAGCAAGCTTCTTGGTAAGCAGCACAACGCAGCATGAAAGGCATGAGAGCATTGCTACCATCTTTCTGCTCACAGCTCAGGCGCACATTGTTAACCTTTGAGGGATGGTAGATGGAAGTGCAGAGCTTCAGCAGCTGCTTACCTCTTTGCACACTAATTAAGGTGGATTCCAAACCCTGGATATATGGGCACGTCAGCAGTTAATAGTCACTAATTATATACAATATATGAGTGTATTAAACTTACGGTAAGAAGCATATAACTGACGAAAAGGATGATGTCTGCAGGGGCATACATTGTGTAAAGTGATATATTTAGTTTGGCATTGGTCAAGTTATTTAAATCCATCTGTTGTGTCGGGTGTCCAGCAGTGAATTAAGATACAATGAATTCTGCTAATGACTAGGGGATAAATATGTTGATCAACTGCTGGAAAATCGTTTAACGTACCTTATAGTTCTAATATCTGTCCAATAAAGATGTTAGGCACTTTTGCACTGAATATATAACCTTCTGAATATTATTCACTATTTTTAAAAAATTATAGGATTTACAATTTGAAAGCCTATCCCGTCATAGCAGAGCATACTGTTGATAATCTGAAGATCAAGATGCTGTTGAACACAGGATTTATGTTCGTGGGGAGCGGATTTCGCTAATTTGTATTGAAAGCCGGTTTGCCCTTTTGTGACCTTAGGAAAGAGGTTTATTCGTTTAATTTAGTTGATTCAATATTTTCTTAAGGAATGCTGTTTTATCTTTGTAGGGTGAATCCTAATTATTTAATGGTGCTGATTACAGATATAAATGTTAAATTCTAGGCAACCACCACTTGTTGAGTCGTCTGAAAGGTACTGCCGACTAGGTATGAACAGCCATTACTGTAAGAACAGGATTAGCAGGTCAGCATCTCTTTCTATTTTTTCTTAATACTTTAATCTGGTAGCTATTTGTTTTGACAGCAGAACAGTAGTACGATAACAAACAATTATTTTCTTCTTTGCATGTCATTTTTATTGGCAAATCATTTTTTCACTGTCCAGTAATGGAGTACCCATGATCTCAAAAGGTAACGTGAATATTTATGTAGACTGTGCACTGTACTGCTCTGCAGTTTGTTTTACAGCAGTGTAAATGATTACACATATCTACAAGGTTTAGTAACCAAATTAAATTAAAATCGCATTGTAGCCTATTTCTCCATGCTAATTATTGAATGTGTTTTTTTTAGGAGGTAGTTTTCCAGTTTACAGAAGAAATCATGCCAATAGTAAAAAGGAACATTGAACCTCGGCATCTCTGTCATGGGGCTTTGCCTGAAGCTATCAGCAGTGAACTGGAATGTGTCACTAACAATACTCTAGCAGCCATTATACGTCAACTCAGCAGTCTCAGTAAGTCCAAATACTTTTTTTTGTGTTTCTGAGATATTGGGTTTAACTATTTTAGATTTCTTTTGGTAGAGCAAATGCTTGTTCTTGCATCAAAATTCTTTTTATATAAAAAATAGTTTTTCACCTCCCGCATTAGTAGGTTCGAAACTTTTACGACTATGGATAGACAGAGGAGTCTATTAATTTACCAAAAAATGTTATTTTATATCATAATAATAATAATCCTTGCATTTCATATAGTGCCTTATCACGTCCTTGAGCCGTCTCAAAGCACTTCACAGAATATATTGTAAAGTGTGAATTTATTATCTGGGTATTTTGTGGCCGAAATTTTGAAGGGATAAGTCCTGTTATCTTTACAAAATAACTAGCTGTACACTCTTGCAACCAGTTTCATTTAATCGTTCTCTCTTTCGTCTGTGATTTTTATTTGTCCTTGAAAGGCTTGATCTTCGCTTCTTAGGCATCCCTTGTTCACATATTTGCACACATATCCTTTTGGGAGGACTCCTGTGGGAGAACTCCTGTTGGCAGGACTTCTTGTTGGAGTTTATACAAATGTGATGAACTTGTCTGGGTCATGTTAGGAGATCCTGCTCAAAAGAATATGCCAATGACACTCTCCCAGGCAAGACCTTTCCGATAAGGTATAAATCATGTCTCTACGTCTATCAGTTAGACAGACAACCAGACAGATATTTTGTTTAGTATAGAAGATGTACCTTTCTAGAAGGCTGTGTGACCTCTGTCACTACTTTATTGCAGAATACCATGCATATGTTTTGGGGGTTTAGTTAACAACAACAACAACAACAAAATTATATTTGTATAGCGCCTTTCATGTTGGGAGGACGTCCCAAGGCGCTGGACAGTCAGACTTTCAGACCCGAGTTAGGGGTTGGCATCGGGGAGGGTAGAGGGCAGGGCCGGAAGCAGGGTGATCGAAAACACGGTCAAAGAGAAGGGTCTTCAGATGGCTGTTGAAGGAGGCAAGGGAGGGTGGGAGGCGGAGGAACTACGGGATGGAGTTCCAGAAGGTGGGGACAGAATGGCAGAATGCCCCCCTGCCAATAGTGGGACGAGCGAGATGGTGAACGTGAAGCAGGCCGGAGCCTGCTGAACGGAGAGAGCAAACAGGATGGTAAGGGCTTAGGAGGTCGCAGAGATAGTGGAAGCAAGGAGGTCTTTGAAGGTGATCAGCATTTTTAAAGCATAATTAAAGCATTTTTTAATATATTGTTTAATATAGCTCATCAACAAAAGCAGATCCCCCAAAAAATATGTGTATGATGCTCGTCTATGCAAGACCTTTCCGATGAGGTATAAATCATGTCTCCACATCAATCAGTTGTTGTGTTCTTGGCATACAGACAGACAGACATTTCGTCTTTATTAGTGTAGATAGATGATGGAGGTCCTGTAAAAGAAATGACTGAAATTTCAGACAATTTGGTATTGTTCACATCTGACATTCAACTTTGGGACTGGAACTCGCATAGTCTAAAATGATACTCTAATGCAGTGCTGGGGATTGCATCGTTGGAGGTGCCATCTTTCGGATGAGACTTTAATCCAAGGTCCCGTTTAAGTATTCAGTGAAAGTTAAAGACCACATGGCACTATTCAACAAAGATTTTGCCTTGTGGAAAATGCTTTTTAAAATTGTTCTTGATTATTGTACATGGAAACAGAAACATTGAGGTGACTTCGGAATCAACCATGAACAAATTCAGTATGACAACCTCCAAACAATATTTGTTCTAGATTATAAATTATAAATATATACAAATATGAGGTGGTTAGGATATGCTTGTGTTTAATGTTCTGAGAAATATTATTTTATAATAAAAATATTCAAGCTTCTCTTCACAACATTTCCGTTACACTGTTAAACGTTTGATCATGATGCTCCCTCTGCTGGAGCTATCTACAGTAATCCCATTCTCGCTCTTTCTTTTGTGTATATGCTCATGCTGCTCCACCCCTGGAGTTATGTCTTCCAATCTCATTTCTCTGATCTTTCCCCGTTATGTTCACACTGGTGCTAGCTTCCCTACTGTAATAGAAATCCTTCCTAGCATTTGATATTACTTTATCTCTGTAGCTGGAACACCTATTCCCACCCATTCCCCGGCTCTTTCCCCATCTAGTCTTTGCTTGTGTTGGCTCACTTACTGAAACTATCCCATTTCCTACTCCATTCACTTCATGGCTGTGGACGTTTGCTGTGTTTTAAAATAATTACTAAAGGTGTAAAGGGGCAGATTAGAAGGACTGTTTTTTACACAGAGTTGTCGGGGCGTGGAAAGCTAATATAGATTCTGCCTCATCACTGCAATGTGAGGTACAACAACAAGATTACATTTGTATAGCGCCTTTCACGTCGGGAGGACATCCCAAGGTGCTGTACAGAGTACAGCATTTCAGACCCGAGCTGGGGTCGGGGTTGGGGGGGGGGTAAGGGAGGGGAGGTGAAGGGTGGTGGCCGATGGAATGGTCGAAGAGGAGGATCTTGAGGCGGGACTTGAAGGAGGCTAAGGAAGGGGCGAGTTGGAGTGACTGGGGGATGGAATTCCAGAGGTTGGGGGCAGAGTGGCTGAAGGCTCTCCTGCCAATGGTGGGGCGGGTGGGTCGGGGGACGTGGAGCAGGCCAGAGCCAGCTGAGCGGAGGGAGCGGGCGGGTTGTAGGGTTTAGGAGGTCGCAGAGGTAGGGTGTGGCGAGGCCATGGAGGGCTTTGTAGGTGAGGACCAGGATCTTGAACTGGATCCTCTGAAGGATAGAGAGCCAGTGGAGTCGGGCGAGTGGGGGAGATGGGGTCACGGAGTTTGGTGCAGGAGAGGACACGAGCTGCAGAGTTCTGGATTATCTGCAGCCTGTGGAGAGAGGGGTTGGGAAGGCCGACAAGCAGAGCGTTTGCATAGTCGAGCCTCGAGGTGATGAAGGTATGAACAAGAGTTTCAGCGACCTGAGGTGTGAGGCAGTGGCAGAGTCGGGTGATGTTAGGGAGGTGAGGGAGGGCAGAGCGTGTCATGGCTTGAATGTGGGGGAGGAAAGACAGTTGAGGGTCGAACAAGACGCCTAGGTTCATGACTGGCTTGGTGAGTTGTAGTGTGCAACCATGGAGGTTAATGTTGCCAGAGCCTGTAGGAAATTTGCCCTCATCCAGGACTTGATGTCCGACAGGCAGTCTGTCAGGACAGCAGTGGTCCTGGAGTTGAGGGTGGAGGCTGAAAGATAGAGTTGGGTGTCATCCGCATACATGTGGAAGTTGACCCCATGTCTGCGGATGATGTCACCAAGGGGGAGCATGCAGATATTAAAGAGGAGAGGACCAAGGACAGAGCCCTGGGGGAAGCCAGATGTGACAGTGCGAGGGCTGGAGGAGAAACTGTTAGAGGCAACGAAGTGGAGACGGTGAGAGAGATAGGAATCGAACCAGGCAAGGGCAGATCCGTGAAGATTGAGTAAAGCAGAGAGGCGGTGTATGAGGATGCAGTGGTCGACAGTGTCGAAGGCGGCAGAAAGGTCCAGGAGGACAAGGAGGCAGAGGGAGTTCTGATCACAGATGTTCAGAATGTCATTAGTGACTTTGACCAGGGCTGTTTCCGTCCTGTGAACAGTGTGGAAGCCGGATTGGAGGTTTTCAAAGAGGGAATGGCGAGAGAGAAAGCGGAGCTGGGACGCGAAGACTTGTTCCAGGACCTTGGAGAGGAATGGAAAATTAGAGATGGGACGGTAGCTGGAGAGGAAGGATGGATCCAGGGAAGGTTTTTTCAGGATGGTGGTGATGACGGCTGTTTTTAGGGGTGTGGGAACTGATCCAGTGGACACGGAGAGGTTGATGACATCGGACAGGAGGGGAGCCAGAAGGTGGAGCTGGGAGACGAGGAGAGAGGTGGGGATGGGATCGAGGGAGCAGCTGGTGGGTTTGAGTTTGCGGACAATCGTGGTGAGGGAGGAGGGAGAGATAGGGTCGAAGGAGTATAGGGGGGTGGTAATCAGAGCAGAATCCATATAATCTTTCAAGGGGGAGGGATATGGGGGATTTGCAGAGATATGGTGAAAAGACAAGTAAATGAGGCTGAGAGAAATGGGCTCTTTCAAAAAGACACCACGGACATAATAGGTTGAATGGCCTTTTCTTGTGTTTGTGTGGTTCTTTCCTTTTGAATTTTTATATTGGGAGGTAATGAGCGAGACTCACAAAAAACAAATACTTGAGTGTCTTCCACTTTCCTCACCCCTCCCCAGTATATACTAAAGTTGCTTTTCCACAAGGCTCAACAACTGGGATCCCAAATTCCTCAATGTTTTTACACTTGAGACTATGGTCTTAAAATTCAAGATTATTAATAATTTTGGAAAAGCTTTAAATTCATTCTTAATTTTGAAACTAACTTTCCACAGGTCTTTTGGGGTACAAATTAGGATTCAATTTAAGAGCATTTCACACAATCTTAAATTTCAAAGCATATCCTGGTGACAGCACTGATTTTTGTTTTTTTAAGAAAATCCACTTGTGCACTGTTTACTGTTTGACATAAGGGGGCGCCAAACCTCTCTATCACTTGTACCAATTCACAGCTGTCTTGTTTTTAACGAAATATAACATTTTAAGTTTCAGATATGAAGCTGCAGATATCTTGTACATAACATGTACAGTATGGGTAGATATTATTTTCAGAGGAAGATTCCAAAAGATATTCTTGGACTTTTGATTCTCGTCTGGATGAGTTGGGCTTGCTTGGATTTGTCTTTCTACTTAGGCTATGTTTAATGTCCACCTGAACAAGCAGATTAGATCTTGGTTTAACAACTTATCTGACGGACGGTACCTCCAACAATGTAGGCCCTTCCCCCCCCCCCCCACATACACTCACTATATTAATGTGTCAGCCCAGCCTTTAAGCTCAAAGTCTTGCTACCGGGTTTAAGCCCACAATTCTGACTCAAAAGCAAAAATCCTATCAGCTTAACCAGACTAACATTGAAATTAAAA